GGGGTTAAGTTCCAAAATGCTCTCATTGAAATAGGCATGTTTTGGCCCCAACAGACCCTGACAAGAGATGCTCTCGAGAGCCGGAGATCCGGTCTTTCGCGGAACACAAAGTGCGAGGAAGAAATCTTCAGCGGGCGCCCGCGCACCGCCGCCCGTCCGGCACCCTCGGCGGGACCGGCGCCGCCCACTGCGAGACTCTGTCCCCGTGCCGGAGGCCCAGGTCCCTCCCCGCCCGACGGCCCGTCGCACGACGGCATTGGGACCGACCTGCCAACTCGCCACCCCGGCGCTACTCCCCCAGAGCCCTCCAGCTGGGTTTATTGCCAACCCTGGATTTCAAGTCAGTTTGTGGCGGCCCCTCAGACTTGCGGCCCAGCAGCTCATCCCGGGCCGCCGGGCGAGCGCCGGTTCACTCCGCCGTCAGTCCTGGCGGGCCCTCCTCCGGCTGTGCCCGCTCCTCCTACGCCGCCAGTCCTGCCCGGTCTCCTCCTCCTCAGGGTTCGGCCCGCCTGAAGGCCGCCGGTTGGCCGGCCGGCCCTCCTCGCTATGAACGCTTGGCTGCCACAAGCCAGTTATCCCCGTGGTAACTTTTCTGACACCTCTTGCATCAAACTCCGAAGCTCAAAAGGATCGGTAGGCCACGCTATGACAGTTTGTATTCATACTGAAAATCAAAATCAAACGAGCTTTTGCCCTTTTGCTCCGCGAGGGGTTTTCTGTTCTCGCTGAGCTCGCCTTAGGACACCTGCGTTACCCTTTGACAGATGTACCTCCCCAGTCAAACTCCCCGCCTGACGCTGTCGCCAGAGCGGGTGGCGGCCGGCGGCGCCGTGAGGCGGCCGGCCGCGTAGCACCCGAAGACTGGGCCCGCGTGGGGCCCGCTCCCCGCCTCACCGGCTAAGTAAAGAAATGACGAGAGTAGTGGTATTTCACCGTCGGGCCGGGGCCCTCCCACCTATCCTACACCCCCGTGTCTCTTCACAAGGTCAGACTAGAGTCAAGTTCAACAGGGTCTTCTTTCCCCGCTGATTCTGCCAAACCCGTTCCCTTGGCTGTGGTTTCGCTAGAGAGTAGATAGGGACAGTGGGAATCTCGTTAATCCATTCATGCGCGTCACTAATTAGATGACGAGGCATTTGGCTAGTTACTTACGCCGTTTACACGCGCTTCGCTGAATCTCTTCACTTTGACATTCAGAGCACTGAGCAGAAATCACATCGCCTCAGCGCCCCGGCTGCGGACGTCGCGATGCTCTGTTTTAATTAGACAGTCGGATTCCCCTGGTCCGTACCAGTTCTGA